AATATAATTTTTCTTTTTTTTACTTACATATTTTATTGTAACTTTAAATATGTGTATTAATAACATGCAATAATTGATACTTTGTAAGTTTAATGTAAAAAACTTGACGCAGTTCACATAGATTGAACAAATCTTATCATATCTGTAAAGGGGATTCACTTTTATTAACAGGTAGGACTACACAAACCCCATTACTTTATTGAGTGGTAGAGCCCAGTTATCCCAATGACGTCACGCATAGGATTTCTTACTCGGAGGTACCATGCCATTTACCGATCATGATCAGCATTTACCATGCAAACTAAAATTCCAAAGGTGACTCGACAGCAACTCATTTCTGATCGCATAGTTAGCACATTGTAAACTTCAAGGTGATTCCTAAATAAAATACTAAGTGATTAGTATCACTAGTTTTGTAATTTTTTCCTCTTTTTGAGTGACCTAGAAATCTAGTATAGCTTCCAGAAAAAATAAGAAAGTTGCTGTGATTTACTCGCAACCCACAAGTTATAAAAAATTTGTTAAAACTATTTTTTTATATTTATGAAAATAAGACATTTTTCGGTTTTTTGGCCTCTACTGCGCTAGGTGTAGAGCTACAAGTAATATTGAATGGGAAAATTAATCAGCATAAAATTCTGCAATTTTTTGTCCATTTAAGCGGCTTTGTATCTCTTACGGTTTACGAAATCCCCATGAAAATGAAAAAAAAACTCACCCTGTATAAAGGCTGATTCAAATTCTACGGCCACCATGGGGATCTCGGAAACGTAAGAGATAGGTAGGTAGTTTAAATTAGGCAAAGTTGCGTATTTTGATGCTTAACAGTTAACAAAACGCCGTTTTGAAACTGAAAAAATTCCGACTACTTTCGGAGATATCCTGAAAAAACGAAATTTTGCAAAAATCGTTTTATGTTGTACCGAAGTTATTTAAAAATATATTTAAAAATAAATGATACATTATTATGGTTGCTTTTTTTCCCTCTACAAGATGCTAACTTTAAATTTTATGTCTGGCGTTTCGTCTCCGTTAACCATCATAAACTTTGTTTTTTCTTATGGAAGTCATTTTTACTTGTGTCATTTGAATTTTTCTTTTATTTCTGATTTTAAAAATGTAAATATATCACTGTTTTTTCATAAGGATGGCGCTATTAATTCGTAAAAATGCAAGAATCTACGAACATACTTTCCATAAAAAAAACAAAGTTGATAATGGATAACCGGAGACGAAACGTTAAACTTAAAATTTAAAACTAGCATCTTGTCTATAATTACGCTTACATCAAAGTGGTCCTCACAAAATTAGTCGTAGATAAAGTAGAGTATATTACTCGCAATAATGGCTATAATAATAATAATAATAATAAATGTCTTTATTGTCAACCGAACAAACAGCAAATAAATAACATTTCTTTGTTGATACATTTATGAGTGACAATAGGTGCAAGTTCAGAGACAGGCACAAGCGCCGCTCCTGGTCTTCCACTTGGACCAAAATCAGCAACGGGAAGGAAGAAAATAAAATTTACAATATAAATAGAAGAAAGAAAGAGGAAAGAAATAAAATCTACGATTTAATTAGGATGGTTCACAAAACGTCCAGATTGCTAACAATTGATGCGAGATAGTGATAGTTAATGTGGCTTATTGAGATTGTAGTAGGTACTGTTTACTAGCAGATTTGAAAAGAGGTAAGGAGGAGATGTTCTTGATGTTATCTGGTAAAGAATTCCATAACTTACAAACATTATAAGAAAAAGACCTCTCAAACAGTGATGTTATGTGCCTAGGAGGCCTAAGATAAAACTTTTTTCTTACATTCAGATTATATACATCTGTGCGGTACGTTAAGCGTTCCGCCAAATATGGAGGGGTTTTGTATTTAATCACCTTAAAATAAAGTGAGCGTGCATGATGTACATGTACCTTTCGATTGGACATATTTAACCACTTACACCGCTTCAATAAATGTGAGACTTTATTGTACTTGCGAATTCCGTATATAAAACGAAGGCATTGGTTTTATTCTCTCGGAATTTTACTCCCTCGCCGCTGTAGTGGCTCAGTTGTAAATACTCCTCGAGAATAATAGCTATAATTATTGACTCGTGATATCTACTATTATAGTAGTAGACATGGCGAATCATATAGAAAAATTTGTAGGCAACTAAAAATACAAATTATTGATGTTTTCTAATGTAGATTCTAAAACGCTGCAGGCTATAGGTGCTATTCATTCTCAACAAAGCACTTAGCACCTAAGTGAATATGAATTGAAATACCCTTATCTCTTTTCTTTCTTTTGTAATTATAGTCGAGCTAGATTTATTTTGAAATGACTATATTAGCCAGAGACAAATACCGTTACCGTTACCTAGAAGTATTCAGGCTTTCATTAATAATTTAAATGATAAATCTGAAAATTTACATACCAACATAGTTTTTATGATCTATCGAAAGAAATATTATCATAATTTTTTGACTTCCGGTTCTACCGAATGTCGATAACAACTTTCTTATTTTAACACCCTGTATTTTATTACATTTTCGAAATCTACATGAAAATCTACGTCGTTTGATAGCATCAAAGGTTTTCAAGTTATTCAAGATTTTTCAACATTCAAAAATCGACAGTACTGACTTGATTCTACGTGACAATGATTTAAATTTGGTCGCCCTTCTACAGGGTGTTTTAAAACTCTAATGGTCAACTTTATTAAATTCAAACCTTACAAAGTTGATTTATTCAAATGATACATGCTTTTTTGCGCTTTCAAATGTCGAAGAAAATTCTACATCATTCTAGCTAGTATTACAGTCCCTATACCTATCTGTTATGCTTTCCGGTTTATTTTAGATTTCCTAATATTGTGACCTTATGCATAATTTTCCTAGGAGGTCTGAATACTTTTAGGTAACGGTTTGCGTGAAACAATAATACTTGGTGTAATTACGGAAGTAGGTATCCACAAGAATCTTACCATTACAAACTTCTATTCAATGAAATCAGAAAAGAAAAAATTAAATTACATTATTAGCTATTTAAAGGAAGGTGTTAATGACGCCGGACAAAGCCCAAAGAGGTGAATTTCGCTACAGATAACTAATGAATAGCCTAATCTTGAATGTTAGAAAAATAAATAGGATTAATTGGCAATTGCCAGTTAATGACAATTTCGTATGGTGTAATTTAAGTTGCCTAACTGTGCTTTCACGCGCCCCGCCGAAACGTTCATGTCCGATTAAAATGGACAGAACGTACCTTGCCGAGGCACCGCATCCCGAAGCACCGATTTGTGCTGTTCTCGGGAAAATAAAAATCATCAACAAACCCACGATTTGGTACACCGATGTATAAAGGTGCGTGAGTTTGGTTATGGCATTGAAGATGCGTGGCATGACCCGTGCTCGTCGCGTTGGTGCCGATACCCGTGTCAGGTAAATACAGTCACTAGCGTCTTATATACGAAAAATCAGAGTCAAAGTAGTGGACCAGGAGATGCGAACCGGCTCTATAAAGGACAAAGACTACTCCGTCGACCGGGAAGGGGGATGGCGTTTTTTACCACCCGCACGCTAGTAAGAGAGGTATTGCATTGGGGTAAAAGATGACCCTCCCCTCCCCACTTTTTTGTCCGAAATACACGTTTTGAAGCACCAGGAATCCGAATTAAACGAAATTTCAATGGTGTCGTTCGGTCTGTCTGTACTCTCATTTTCGGCCAAACGGCTGAACTGATTGAAACGCAATGGGTATTTCGCTAGTGCTAGTCGACTATGTGTCTCAAAAAGAACAAAATTGGGGAGTAGTTTTCAGGATGATTTCCAGGCAGCAATCGCGCAGAAAAGGTCTGGATTAGCGAAGAAGAATCTCGTTTTAAAACGACAATGCACCCGTTCACTAAAGCTGTTTTGTATTTCAAAAATTCGTCGATTTGCGAATCCACTTGATTTCCGAAACCCCCTTATTCACTTGACTTGCTTTTTTATGAAAATGATATAATCGTACCTTTAACTTTACCGATTTCGATGTTATAATCATTTTTCTTCATAATTTAATCGTTTTTCAAATTTTTTTAAAGGAACTAAAGCACTTAAGCACAGTCCGCGATCTCTTCCATTTCCACATGATTATATATCAAATATTAGTTTTTTAGCGCATTTTTTAAGAATTAAAAAAAATGTGCTATTGTTTGCGTTTTGTCCGCCCGTCCGTCCGTCCGGACCCACTTCTGCCGTTTCGCACTACTTCTAGGGGAATGGTCCTACAGTCCTGGAATTGTTTGCAGTAGGTAGCCTATACCTTGTAAAACGTGCATAACTTTTACATACGACAACCAATTGGTCTCAGATTTTGCATACGCATGCCTTTAGTGGTACCAAGTTAAACTGTAGAAAATGAGGGGGGGGGGGATAAACACATGTTCTACCCTTCATGGTATTCTAATGAAAGGTCTCATCGAAATAAATTGGTTTGTACAAACTATAATTTTCCCGTGGGACTTTTTCGAGATCAGTGAGCGACGGGGTCTGAGGGGGAGGAATAAAATTAATTTTATCTCTCATTGTATTCTAATTATAGGTCTCAACGAAAGGAACCGTTTTCTACCAACTACTGCCCTTCTTTCTGTCCTCTTATCAAAGTACGAGGTGGAGGGGAGGGGGGAGTGGAACTAGTTTTATCCTTCATGGTACTCTAATGAAAGGTCTCAACGAAAGGAATTAATTTCTACCAACCATAGCCCTCCTCCTCGACCTCTTATCGTGATCGGGTATAATCCCTTATACCTCAAGAATGGATTGTTGGAAGAGGGTACTCACAAAGGGCGATTGAGACGTCTGCAAGAAATATATCCATTTGTGATGTCAAAACAAAAGCTATTTCCGTTAAAAAATGCGCTTTATCTGTACAAGAGTTGTGCACAATTTATACTTGTTTTAGATACTTTATTGACGCGGAAATCCTGCCAATTATTATTTTTTTTTAATTTTTAGGATGTAAGGACTATACTGTTCCGGAAGACATACCAGTTAGTTACGACATAACGCCAGTCTTAACCGTGGTCGGAGGAGTAAAGGCTTCTGCTGAAGAATTTCCACACATGGTAACTAATGACACGATTATAACAGAAATTCAATGTATCTGTGTGATTTCTTAGGCAGTTTTAGGTTACGGAGATGTGAATGAGATTCAATGGCTTTGTGGAGGAGCCTTAATCAGCGAAAATTACGTATTAACAGCTGCGCATTGTACGACTTCCCAAGAATAGTATGTATATCTACATTAAATAATACCATTGAAGACGTAATCATAGATTACTTATTCAATGATAATACAGATACACAGTATTTAAACTGTTTCAGTGGAGACGTTAAATTTGTCAGACTTGGGGATTTAAATTTGAAAGTTGACACAGATGATGCTCAACCCCAAACCTTCCGAGTATCCGAAATTCATCGTTATCCAAATTATCAGCCACCTTCGCAATACCATGACATCGCGTTAGTGAAACTAAACCAGATAGCACGCTTCACAAAATATGTCAGACCTGCTTGTTTAAACACTGTGAGGCATCTTCCTGAAAATTCTCCTCCTATCGCTACGGGGTGGGGAAAGTTGGGTTTTGTTGGAGATTCCAGTGATGATCTTATGAAGGTGACACTATCGTACTTCAATAATGAACGATGTAATGCGACTTATGCCAATCTGTCTGCAAGACGATTACCGAAAGGCATTGTGGATGACATGCAAGTGTGCGCAGGTGGAATTAGCGAGTCAAAAGATACATGCCAGGTATGTGGTTTATTGGCTACTTTTGCTATATTTAACTCACTTTGTAGGGTGATTCGGGCGGTCCGTTACAAGTTAGATCCTTGGACAACTTTAAACTATTTTACATAGTTGGTATTACTTCCTTTGGGAAGGGATGCGGCATAATTAACACTCCAGGAGTATATACCAGAGTTTCAAGTTACGTCGACTGGATTGAAGATATAGTATGGCCTAGATAGACGTCGCTAACTGTCTATGATCATAGCGTGTAAATATGATGTATAGTTACTTGTGTTGTATGATTTCATTGGTATTACCAACTTATTTGATAAAAACTAAAACGAAAAACCAAATAGTTCGCTGACGATGACAACTTTGCTATCGAAACGCGTACGTTTGATTAAAGTTTTAGTGTGGCTTTTTGCAGTTTTTGTTTTAGTTTTTGTTACTTCAGCTGCCGCAAGAGATGCAGTGTTTCCAATAACTTATTTAATTGGACTGTAATAATTGCTGTAATGCATTAGGATATCTATTTGAGCTAGATTGATTAAAGATAAATAAAGCGCTTTCATTATGGAGATATCTAAAACCTAGACATAAGAACTAAATATATTTGTTTATAGACTAAGTTAGAAATAAATATATAGCAAATGCTGAAGACATTTTTTATCTTCCGCTTTTAGGAGAAACAGCCAAGAGCACAGAAGGTACACATAAATGAAACAAGACATAGCACCAACATGTTAAAAATATCAAATATTAGTACCGGGTGATTGATTAGAAGTGAGGACAATTTGAATTTCCCTAAATCACAAAAAATATGAAGTTGGTACTAACTGATGATCATTTATTTAATTGCAGTGGTGTATCATCATATGCTTTCAGTAAATCGTTACTTATTTATAATCTACAAATACTGGTTCTGTTTTACCACAATTTATAAACTAACACTAGACACAGTCACATTTCTTACATATGTTAGTGCATAAACTATAAAAATTGTTCAAAATGGAAAAAGTAATAAACCGCAAATGGCACACAACAATTAACGGCCACTGGTTTCTTAAATGACAGTCATGACAGAAAAAAATTACTACCTAACAAAATTCAAACCGTCAATCTAATAATGCAAAAAATACTAACACCTTACGCGCGAATTTCAAGCGATCATCACTTCTAATGAATCGCCCGGAATAACATTTACTTGGAACGGAAATTAATAATTTAGTGTTCAAGAAGTATGTTACAATGCCGAAATAAAGTAGACAGGACAACGTAGGCGTATTGTATTACCGTTCCGTCTCTAATCCAGTGTTTTGTCTCGAGTGGGCTCTGTGGTGCGGTCACGGTCATCCCGGCGATGACCATCCCGAAACCGACTTTCCGGCGACAATCCATCCCGGCGAGCATTTACTTCCCGGCTTCGGTCATCCCGGAGATTTAAACCCGGCGACGGACAACCCCGACGATGAGCAATCCCGGCAACAGTGCACGTCTTGGCTTCGGTCGTACCGGCAATTTGCTGTTCTCAAATATCTTGAAAACAAAAAAAATGAGATTGCTTAAATTTGAAATGATTTCAAATCAGTACAGAATTCTACAAAACTTTGCTGATGTACCCTTCTTCCTATCGAACGGACACACTGCGTATACCTACAAAATGGAGCGTTAACAGTACGTAGGTACTTTCACATACCTTGCGGTTGGCATATGTATTATTCATACAGGAAAAATGAAAGGAAATGACAATGAGCAGTGTTCAATTTTTGCAATTGAAAGATATTAAATTTGTGTATAGAAAAAACAAAAGAAAGATGGGGATGAACTGGGATCGTGTGGAAGGTATGCAATGCCGGTATAACCGATGCCGGAAAATCAATAGTCGCCGGGATAGGCCGTCGCCGGGATAGGTCGTCGCCGGGTATAAATCGCCGGGATAGTAATGGTCACCGGGATGGGTTGTCGCCGGGAAAAGCGCTCGGGAGCGGGAAAAAACGCTCGGGAGCGAAAAAATTAATCCTTCAGAGCTTAAGGGCGGTTAAAAGCGCTCACGAGCGAAAAAAACGCTCGGGAGTGGAAAAAACCGCTCGGAAGTGGAAAAAACCGCTCGTGAGAGGAAAAAGCACTCGCGAGCGAAAGAGAGAGAGAGGGGGAGTGGTAAAGGGAGAGAGAGGGGGGGGGGGAGCAAGTGCAACGTGAGGCGTTTCGGACAGGCGGTGTTTTCGCCATGTGTCAGAATAAACTGTATAAAGGGCAATAAGCAGTGTTTTGATTGGTTTAACGATATTGTACTTTGGTAGTTTTAGGATGGTCATCCCTCAGTAGGTAAGCCTTTATTATTATATTCATAAAAAACCGTTTGTTTATCATTTCCACCATTGTAATCCAACGCGCGTTTCGCACGCAATAGGTTATAAGGATCCCATGACATCTACCTAAACTGATTTACAGGGGAATGTTGGTTGTCTAGGGTAGACGGTGGCACATTGCAATCTCTTTTTACAGACCACATCCAACAACTGTGAACGTATACAGGGTGGTGCCTAGCGCGACGCAGCACAGGGATTTCAATGATAATTTCTTCTCGAGGGATGGTAAGTCACCCGAGGATTAAATATAGAGTAATGCCTGACTCCTGAGATGCATACAAAATTTTATTTTTCATCGTTCCAAATAATGCGTTTCCAATATACAAATGTAATGATTAATGAAATGACAATCCATTATGCCCTCCCTCGGGCGTCATAGACTGCTTTATATATTACTCTCGCCAGGAAATATTGCCGGTCACAGCACACCTTATGTCGGTTTACAATCTATGTTTTTCTTAAGATGCGAGCGACTTCCGGAATAGAATCGTGCCAATGTTGAACGAAAAGTCTTTTTGTTCAACATTGACAGGACACTATCCCGCAAGTCGCTCACATGTTTAGAAAAACATAGATTGTAGATCTAGTCCAGTCAAATTAGCTCTAAAAGTAGTATAAACTGGATGTTGTCATTTCATTGAATGAAACCAAGCGTATTCTATGTAAAAAAATCCGCTGAATCGGAAAACCATAGTCCCCCCGGCCGGAAACGCCCGGAACATATTGTTATAAACAAAAAACGAAGAAAAAATGGGGAAATGTCGTGTTTTTTCACATTTGACTGCCAATATCTCGTTAACTATTGCTCTGAGGGAAAAAATGAGTAGAAATGAACTTGTTTAGAATAAAATTTTCTATAAGATCCAGTTGGTCTGGAAGGCTCTTTTTCAACCGTTATTGTTTTTTAGGGAAAAATGTAAAAACAGCAATCTCTAAAATTGACACTTTGTTGTTATCGGGACAATTATTGGAAAAGATTGTTTTACGGTTCCACTATGTATAAAAAATTGGGAACGCTCTTGTAGTCCCCCAGTTTGAAAGACAAAGCATCCCTTTTTCTACTTGTTTATTTAATTAATCAATGAGTATGAAACCTACGGTGATCTGGTTTGTCATATTGTTTTGTTATCAAAAGAAGTTACTAAATACGGATTTTCAAAAAGATCGGATGAATTTTACTTATTATTCGAGATTACTGTTTTTACATGTTTCCATAAATAACAATAACAGTTGAAAATTAGCGTTCCGGACCAAATAGAAAATTTTATTCTATACAAGTTCATGTCCATTCATTTTTTTCCCTCCGAGATTATACCATGCCTCCCCGAGCAATAGTTAACTCGAGATATTCGAAGTCAAATGTGAAGAAACACGACATTTTCTCATTTTTTCTTCGTTTTTTGTTTATAACAATATGTTCCGGGCGTTTCCGGCCAGGGGGCTATGATTTTCGGATTCAGCTAATTTTTTTACATAGGATGCGCTTGGTGTCGTTGAGTGAAGTGACAACATCCAGCCCAAACCGTAATTTGACTGGACTAATCGGGATCAAGTGTTCTGGACCGGCAATCTTTCCTGGCGAGAGGTTTATCTCATATGACAGATATAATTGGCATATAATAGCAATAGCATAGGCAAATGAAAAATAAAATCGAAAATTACATTTATGTCTTACTAACCAATCATAGCACATTTTATATCTGTGATACGCGGGCATAAAGTGGTACTTTATGCCCTAGGGCATTAACTATCACCATAGTAACTCATTTATACTTAATGACAAAACAAACAAATATTTGCAGGTCATTGAAAATTAGAAACGTCAATTATTAATTGTCAATACCTACTAAATCACAAGATTGGCCTTATTTCTTATAATTTCTGGAACTTCCTCCTCATTCACAATGAATTGAATTATTTAAAATTACGTTTGACGTTTGGATGGTTTCAATCACATTAACAAATTCGAACCACGCATACTCGATCAAACATAATGAATTATTTTGTAAACGAATTTTGACGAAGAAAACTATTTGTAAAACATAAAATTGTGTATGTACCACGGGCATAAACTGATGTTTATACTCTCGGGCGACTAAAAAGCTCTCGGGCCACATAGGCCCTCGAGCTTTTCAACTCGTCGCCCTCGAGAATATAAACAATACTATTATGCCCTTAATACATAAATAACTATTTTATAAATCAGTGATGCTTTGGAATCTTTTAACAAACTACAAGCGCATCGCATCTAAGTTATCGTTGTTTGACGTCGAACGATTGTTTCAACCATGGTACAATAACACAAGGTATGCCTATGCGTGACGTCATTGACTCATTGGGATAACTGACTTGCAGATGTGTTCCACACTGACTCTCTGTACTGCGCAAACGCAAGCGCGCTAAAATTTGAATTTGCTTTAACGTGCCACCGTTTGTTTTGTTATAAATACCAGTTCCTGCTGACTTCCATATTACAAACCAAATGTCGCTGTATTTTCGGAAAGAATATGTTCTTCTTCTCGAATTAAAGCCTTCGGTCACTACTGTGAATTCCAGTTGAATACATTATAGCGCCCACTTGAAAGCAAACCTCTACTTTAGCTATCAGTCATGATCCTTGTAGTCTGGTTTTTTGTGATTCGTTCAGCACCGGACTCTCTCTTTACCATAGGTCAATGTTGGTCTGTAACGTTATTGCTGTAGATAAGTAAATGTCATTAACTCTTTCTAATTAACTATTACAGTACTTACCGAAGCAGTTTCCTAATATCGCCTTTTGCATATTCTATGACCATGCACTCCAAATGTAGATAACAACAACATTCATCTTGATAACATGGCATTTTCATATACCTACTACATATAATAGGTAAGCAGGTAAGCTAAATTATCTTCAATAGGGTCTTCCTGAAAAAAAATATTGTAACTTTTTTGTGTCTTACTGTAAAGTTTATAACCTGTAATTAAACATCTCATATACAAAACTTTTTTTCCTAATTGCAGCATGTCAATAAACAACATACGAGAATATCGTAAAACTTTCAAATTTTGTCATGCAACCGACGACATGCCGATATTGGCCGAGCGTCGCATACGTCACTACGCGGGTTGCCGATCGGGAGTTATATTAGTCAAGTCTCTGATATTAGTGCATGACACTGATAGGAGTTCGATTCGACTTATTATGGCAATCTGCCATAAACTGAGTTCTGACTGGTTCGTAAAGGGGCAGTTAGATAGTCTGCCAAAGGTTGAAGTGTTAATGGTCGCCGCCTTTTTCTAGAAAAGTGAGTTTTTCCATGCCACTCGTTTGAGTGGAGTCAAAGCCCAGAAGCAAATCTGTTATGGTTCATAGGAAGTATAACATCAAGTTATGTATGTATAGTGCAAGGTATAGTGTAGGTACCTAATACAGTATGCACCTTACGGATTTCAACGAGAAAATTAGGGTGTTGGATATGTGGAAGTGAAAATAGAGAAAAATGTGTGCGCTGTAAGGGCACAGATATGCCCAGAACAGAGTTCGAAGTAAATCATATTCTGAATTACAATTACAAATATATCGATGGATTTTCGTCGATAACTGACTGAAAGTAAATCGACATTATGTACTTTAATTAATTAGAATCGTCTTCACAACAATACAAATGGGATGTCAAACTCGCGGTATCACGTCGAACTTTTTTCGTATATTTCCTGTTGGGACGTTTATATACAATTTATTAGGTTCGCGATGACTTCTGCTATCACACCCAGGCACAAATGCAATAATTATTCGACGCTTTTTTCCGTCAAAACGACGTTTTCTTTCTCTGAATCGATTGTAACCAATGCTACGGCTGAGCGCCAACGCGCGTAGTGACGTCACAGCAACGTGGCGGTCATTCGAAACTTTTCAAACGCCGTTCATTTTAAAATCGTGTTTGCTAATCACAACGATTTCTCTTGACAAAAAAATGAGTACCACTAATTTTTTTAATGTGCTTGGAGTTCATTTTCAAGGTTTTTGAAAAAACGCGGAAAATCCCATTATAACGTTTGCAGGTTATGTGTATATTATTTACCCCTTACACTTGACAGCTGTACACAAATTCAAATTTTAGCGCGCTTGCGTTTGCGCAGTACAGGGAGTCAGTGTGGAACACATCAGTGGACAACTGGGCTCCACCGTTCAATAAAGTAATGCGGTTTGTGTAGTCCTACCAGTCAATAAAAGTTGATCCCCTTTACGAATGTGAAGATTTGTGCAATCCATGTCAACTGCGTCAAGTTTCTCACACTAAACTTACAAAGTATCAATTATTGCATGTTATCAATGCAAATTTTTAAAGTTACAATAAAATATGTAAGTAAAAAAAGTAAAAATTATATTGGCGTTTTCAAATAAGGACGAGACCTCTAGCGGCAATAAAAAAAACTTAAAAGGCTGATTAAATTTCTGAAATAAGTATATTACAATTATAAATCGAGTTTCAAAAAGCATCTCTTAATACACAAAGAGTTCCAAAAGTGTGTCCAGTGTGACTATGCAACTAATTTTTTAAAAAAGTATATGTTAATACACACAGGAATTCCAGGTTTGTACAATGTGCACTGTGTGATTTTACAAGCAATTATAAATCCAGTTTCAAAACCCCCTTGTTATTGAACCAGAGAACTTACAGAGATACAAAACGAGACATAAAATGTGCCTATAGTATAATTATGCACTTTATATGCACACATGACTAGAAAATGCGTGTAGCCAATGTAATTTTGTAACCAATATTAAAAAACACTTTAGAGCACATCTATTACACATGACACTTTCGAGAATTGCCACCAAAGTCGTTTATCCATGGTTATTTATTACACACTAATTGAATAATTGCAATGGCACTTCTAATTCAAGTATGAAGCGTACGCCAGTTTCAAACTTGGCGGTGATTCTTGTGACGTCATTGGGATAAAAACGGCATCTGCGAGGATTTGCGTTTAGTTATAGGCATACCTTGTTTTATTGTACCATGGTTTCAACTAATCGACGCCAACTCAAGAAAAAGCGTCTATTGGGTAACGTTTTTTTAGAGAATGTAATGCAGCATCTGCATCAGATACTATTTGTTTATCATTTTCCGGAACCAGAGTACCTACATACTGTTACATATTGTTCTGAAACTTATATTCGAATTTTCCGCTACTGCAGACAAAACGTTGAATGTATTGTCGTTTTTCTGATGGTTTTGACGGAAATTTTGAACGTTATTGCATTTGCAGATATTTAACACTGTGCCTGTTCTTTCAAACTTGCATACGATTCTGTCTACTGCAGTGGTAGATACTGCTTGGAATCGGCCGATTTGGGTACTTCACACTAAAATAAAGAGCGTTTAAAAAAGCGGCAAGGCACCTCGGTGTGACCCCACGGAATCATTAGATTTGATCCATTTTGAATTGGCTTGTTACATTTGGTATATATGTTAACTGTGCAAAGTTTGAACCGAATAGGTTCAAGCGTTTGCTAGAGGCAGAGAGGCGTGACTCTACGGGGTCATTGGATTTGACCCATTTTCAATAGAATTGTTACATGTGACATATAAGTCTACTGTGCAAAGTTTAAACCAAATCGGTCTAAGCGTTTGATAGTTATCGTTTTCACGGACAGACTGACACCATCGACTCCCCTATAAAGCTTGCATCGCGTTGCTCTGCCGCTTAATAAAGACGTTACTTTGACATTTCCACTTTCTCTTCAGTTAAATACATGATAAACAATATTATGATTAACTAATTTATAAACAAGAATAAATTTAATATAGGTCAAAGGCAGGTCAAAGGCAAATAATAATGGCCCGTATGCATAAAAGTAAGCAAATGCTTATACTTGCAAAATTCAAAGTAAATACTCGTTACTGCCCCTTCATACTGGTCTGTTTAGCATATGGTTTAGCAGCGCTGCACTGCGTTCTGTCTTTCTGCTTAGATGCGCTGCTAAGTCGCCCAGTGCGAAGGAGCACTTACGAGTATTTACTTTGAATTTTGCAAGTATAAGCATTTGCTTACTTTTATTCATATACGGGCCAATGAAACGTGATCGCTATTTTTTTAGCTAATTCCAAGGCATCCTATCCTGATCCTATCTGATTTATTGTAAAATGAACCTTTTTATTTTGTCGATTTCTACGGTTTTGAAAAACGGAAAATTATAAGTATGAACAGATGCAGTATTTTCTTCTCTACAAAAAACGTATTTAATTTCTTGCTCTAAAATAATTAGGAGAACTAGCAATTGACTATAAAGAAATTATCATTAAAGTCCCTATGCTGCGTCGCGCTAGGCACCACCCTGTATACTGTTTGATCATCGGGTTCGTGTATAAAATTTATATTTTTTCAAAGTTCAAAGAGATGCCTTCTTATATCGCTCGTTTGAGCTTCTCCTCGCGCTCTGTCTCTGTCGCGAGTCTGTATTTCACCACAGTTTCCAGAGAACATTTCCTTATTCTTATTCCTATCAGAAACTTCTTCCTGTGTGTACTCCAGAGCCGGTGCATAATCCTGTAGATATTTCAGACCACAGAATATTCCCGAGTGTACGCCAAACCAGAAGCTCATTTTAGAGATTATTCCAAACCAGAAACTTATTCCTGTGTATTTCAATTCAGACCAGATTGTTGAGATTATTCTTGTAATGTACCTGTGTTTTCGTAATATACCAGACCAGCTATATGAATTAATTAGCTTTTGCTTTCATTCACTAGTTTTTATTGATTCGGTCTGATTTCATTGCCCATCATACTAACCTGTACTATCCGTAACGTCAATTCTGGTAGGTTGAATAAAACTGCGAAATAGTGATGCACTGATCTCTTAGGTTTGTGCTTAGCTCAGTCGACCTGATGCAAAGACATTTGACATCATCCCAGTGGCGTAGCTAGGGTTCTCTGGGCCCAGTGCGGATCCAAATTTCTGGGCCCCCAAAGAAATACGAAATATGTGTGATAACCTAATAGGAAATATTTAAACAAAAATAAGCTATATTTGGTTTAGGAAATTTATTTCAGCGTTTTGTGTAAAAAAATACATTTAAGTTCTATAAACTTACTTTACGTGCTTTCGTATTAGCAAAATCAGCAATAACATAATTGAAATCAATCGAATCAGTAACTTCACGCTCAATAGATAAAATTGCAAGGTTTGACAAACTCAAGTTGCTGGCGGGCGTCCGTAACCGAACTCCAAAAACGAGTCGCAACGAAGCGTGCGTAATATTACAGTTTTGTCGTCGAGTCACATTGCACTCAGTGCAGCGGTTTTGTCAACTGCATAAAAGTAATGAATAGCATAGAACATAACAGAATGAATTACGAAGGCCGGTTTGTTTTAGCTCATTTTTGATTAGCTTAAAAATGGTCAGAACTTACAAATTTACTTACCTTTATTTTATTCGTATGGTAACGTGATTTATAAATTCGGGTTCGATTTATATCAATATTTATTAAACAAAACTAAAACACTATAAAAACTGTACAATTTATATCCACTATTTATATTACACACTTCGCAATTTATATCAGATTTTCGCGCTCAATGTTTCGTCCGTACTCGATCTCGTTCGGTAGTAAAACTGACTGCGATGTTCGGTCCGCAACCATTTATACACGCAAGCAATGTAAGTCGAGAACACTCGCGTCATTACCAGATAATTCTCGAATATTCCTATACAAATCCCGCTATCGCGCTTAGAAAATTCCAGAGCGCCAAAGGCGACGTCACGTCTGGAGCGTTTCCGTTACAGTATTTCTGCAAACTATCGATCAACCACAGATTTTCAAAAATGTTGCATAATTTTTGTTATCCCGGCCGCGCGGTTACACGGATGAATTATAGGGCCCCTT